GTTAATCATCCACACATCATATAAAGTTCCGTAGAATCAGATGTCTAATTCGCCAAGTCATTTCTAACCTAGACTTCCATCCCATTTCGTATTCGGGTACAAGAATCCAAAATAAGAGAATTCACCACTCGAGCTGGCCAGTCCCAAGAGTAAATCATCTACATTTGAAATTCCTACCTGACATATGTATCTATAGTCTCCAAGTACCAAAATAATATTTTAAAACCTATAATACACCGTGATTCATAGCTTATGCTCAAAAGAGCACTTAGTCCCTTACACTCATTCACATGATCGAGACCACAACACCACTTGGCCCCAAGCTCACTCCGCGCAGAGACCACGCGAAACGGCTCTGATACCACCTGTGACAGCCCCACCTTACCCTAAGGCGAACCAAAGGGTTCGGCGGACCGCCTGCCCAGCTCTCGCCGGGACTACGGATCCGAAAGAAATGGAAACCACACCAGATGCTCAAAAGAACTTTGAGAAGATAATATTCAAAACCCAATTGAGCCGAACTAAAAGATACAATCAATGTTTAGTACAACGTTCCCACGAAAAAATCAAAACGAGATGAAGGGCCGCTGCCCCGTCACAATCCAACCAAGTACAAGTATACTTTGTTTGACATGAGAGAATATACATTCCCAAAGACATATAACCATAAGGAAACACTGTACAATATACATATTAGTAAGTTTACACACCAAAAGAAACATTTAGGGTTTCCAAATTATCGAGGAGCTATACCCAAAAGAGCAAAAGAGTTTCTAACTAGCTCAACGCATTCTTCAAAACATCGAAATTCCAAAAGATGGTTCCCTGTAAGGAAAACAAGGATAACGGGACGGGGTGAGCTAAAAGCTCAATGAGGTACCAAAAGTATAAACAGTAGAAATCATGAGAAAATCACTTTTAGGGCACATATACACATCAAATACGAGAAATGAATGAACACTACAATTTAAAGGATACAGATGGCTCTCGAGAGCCAAATCCCCGTTGTAATACTTGATCCAACCTAGTTGACCCTCCGTTAACATTCAGATAAAGGAACCAGTCCAGTAGAACACCACTTTAACGCCAAATCCCGTCCACCAAACATACCCCTTACCGGCCCGAACGCCAAACAGGAACAGGAATGGTAATACTCGAGTATACCGGAATCAAGAGTCTCAATACCCAAAGATTTCCTAGGAACAAGCACCCATGGATTGTCAATTACCTCGACCAAGCCCTTGCTGGCTCGACTTAATTAACTCCCCATGAGGTTGAGCTCAAGTTAACAGGAAGATCGTTGGACACACTTCCAAACGATTTCATAACAAGCGCAAGTAACAAGGTCAAGTTCATAACAAGTACAAGTAATAGATTCCAGTTCATTCGGTACAGGCAAGAGAACGAGTGTGATAAAGTGCACCCTCGTCTCATTCAGAATAACAGAGTTCATAGTTATCCATGTCACACATTTCAAGTATAGATGAACCAATTAAACAACAATTCAGGGGAGTGGTACACTTACCTATTAAGGCGAAATAACATCCAGAATATCTTTCCGGGTAACACTCTCAATCACCGATGAACCCTAAGGTTAATAAAGAGAAAATATTACAGTTCCCCTCCAACAAAAGTTAGGTGAATCGAAGTCAATTCAAATACAACTAGTACAAAGTATAAATATGATTTTGGAAGTGAAAAGAGTACATTTAAACCAAAGGACATGAGTAAAATATTTGGAAAACTTATGCTAGCTCGTAAAACTTTGAAATATCCATTTGAGTCGAAGAAATGAAGAAAACGTATTTCTATTAGTCGTAAATTTCATTTTTCCAACTGTACAAGTTTTGGCCAGATTCGAACTTATATACCTCGATAAAAGAGGATGCAACTATCCTAGATGGTTCATATGGTATTTGCTCTCAAATCGTTACCTAATCCTCGAGTGTAAATTTGGGTAGCACGCTCTTTGTATTTACCTATTTTCCAGCCACTTATGGCTTCATTATTTTCCTCAATCAATCCCAAAGTCATACACAATATAAATTCATCACAACAGCAGTTCAATAGTCCAGAGGGCTATAACTTTGATGAAGACTACTTAGTCCAGTTCTCACCCTAACTAGGTCAAATTTACCAAAACAGCCCCAGATTTTCCAGTTCAAAGCTCACTGTGAAATTCAACTAGCAGTCCTGATTCATTCAATCATATCTCAGCACACACAACTCCGATTCAGGTAATTCTAAAGCCATTTGAAAGCTAAGATACAAGGTTATAATTCTTAAGCAAACATCGACAACCAATTCGGTAATATTCCTAGTCAAACTAATCACTTACAGAGGCTGATTATCATTTTTGACAGAAACAGGGCAGCAGGGGCAATTTTGTCAATTCACAAGATACCCTACTCCGATTGAGCTGATATTTTGCAGGCAGCTAGTTAACATCATTTTCTACAACTTTCATGTTTTAATCTAAGCCTGATTCGGCCTTTAACATGCTCAAATAAAACCGGACAGAACAGGGAAAATTGGAACCCTAAAGCTGAAATTTCCGCACAAAACCGAAATATTCCGCAAATAGCTACAATTAACATTCCATAAGTTCATTCTAAACCATACCAAGCCGTCATCCATGGCCAACCAACATTAAACATATAAAAACAGAAAAAAAACATGAATAAAATAAAATTCATTAATCTCTACCAAAAGTCACAAAATCTTTCACAAAACCAACTCTATGCCTAACACAAGTCATTAATTTCACATTATCAAAACCAAAGAAGGGATTCCTTAACTACTCACCTTGCAACCTCAAGAAAAGACACAACTTAGCACCACTTTCTTCCAAACCACTTCACCAACAACCTCACTACTACTAAACTAAGGGTTTTTTATGGAGAAATCGGAAATTTAAACGGTTGATTTGCTAGATTGAGCTAGTTGGAGAAGATGAGAGTTGAAGGTTTTGCTTTTCCTTTTCTTTTCCTTTGAGAGAGTCGGCCACAAGAGTGAAGAAAATGAATATTTTTTATCAATTTTGGGATATTAGTAAAGTGTATGAATAGTGGTCAAAGTACAAGATTAAATCACAAGGTGACACTTGTCACCTTTTTGGTTGATAATTATCCTTTTGTCTCTCCTATACTAATCCATCTAGGAAACCTCTAATTATCTCTTAACACCTAGTAAATTACTCCCGGTATACAAAACTTAACCTAGTTGGCCGAATTTTACCGCACTTACTGCACTAGCGGGTCCCACATCCGTTATTCACTCTTATTTTCTCAAAAACTAACTGATACTAGAAAAATAATTTAAAAACTATATTTATGCAAAAAAATTATCTAGAAAATTTTTCTAATAAAGAAAATGCAGAAAAGGCGTGCAATTAAATAAAATAAAGCCTAGAAAATTAGAAAATTACGGGTTCTCACAAAAACCTCAACCCTAACTCAAGAACATGCACCATATCCATCCAAACCATTGAAATAACTATCATTAACCAAAAATTTAAGGTGCTATACCAACTTAAACAAGATTAAAAGTAAGAAAATGGTAAACCAGCATTATTACCTTACTAAAGCTGCTTTCAAGAGTAACCCTAGCTTTCCCTTCCAAACTTTTACCAACACCCAACTTCCTAAGCACTCAAAGGAAGATTTAATCGGTTTAGAATCTTGTTTCCTCACTTAATCAAGCAAAACCCAAGATGGATTTGAAGCTCTCTTTCTCTTTTTTTTCTCTGCTAAGCTCGGCCAAATGGGTGAAGAAATGAGGAAGAATGAAGGCCAAGAGAGGTTAAGAAGGTTAGTCTAAGGTTGGGTCAAAGGTTCTTGGATTGGTGCCACTTGTCACCACCAATTTCCATCTCACAAATTTTTTCTTTTCTCTTCTTTTCTTGGTCAAAAAATTCGGCCACCATGATCAGATTTTGGCTGATATTTAGGCTCTAATAATAAGGAGATTAGCTTGATAAAATGGTGGTCAAATGGTGTGTTCAATTGGTAGCCAGTCGATAGTGAACGATACCCGTCGGTTCTAGCCGTTTTTTCTTAAATTGCGTATACTAAGGTTTTAACTTATACTTCACTACCTCATTATTACAACTTCTAATCACACACTTAATACCATCTAAAACTCACTCTCAATCACCAAATTTGATCCCCACTCCGTACCGGATAGTCACACTACGGATAGACGTAAAAAACCCTAATTCGCGCTAACTTGAAAACGAAAAGGGTGAACCCTTAATTCTATATTCATTTGCACTTATTGTGGGGTGATTGGGTAGTAGGGCCATTATAAAGTAAGAACATCCAAATAAAAGGGAATTTTAAGAAAAATATAAGAGATTTTACAAGTCCTCACACTCTCTCCCCCTTAAGAGAATTTCGACCTCGAAATTCCTACCTTTAGTCGTAAACAACTTAGGGTATTTCTCTTGCATATCCGTTTCTAGCTCCCAGGTCTCACCGTAGCCACAATTTAGCTAAACAATGGAAAACATGATTCGTACCTTCTACTACCTCCGGTGGTTCAGGTACTGCCTGTTGGTCCAAGGCGTACACTCTAGCTGGCACCCTTGGTTTAGTTCCTCCTACATTTGTTTGTTCAAGGTTTAGGTGTGACCTACGGGGGCAAGTTGCAAGTTGGTGCTCGCACTACCACACCATAAACATTTTTGTGCCTTTCGCCAACAATCATCCTCAGTATTATTGGTCTTCCCACAGTACCCACAAGATACTCGGGGGCTAAGGTCTGACCTCCTTGTGAGGCACCTCTTGCTTGTCCCTTTCCACTCGAGGCTCCGCTTGGAGTAATTTCCTTAGGTGTCCCCGAAATTTGCCTACCACCACCCCTCGACCCACCTTAGAGGGTGGCATATCTCGATCACCCTGTCCCTGCCCTTGACTTCCACCAGGCACACCTCTCTTTTTTGCATGAAAAGCCCTCACTTGTGCCCTAGCAATTTCTATTCTCTGGGTTTTCTCCAAAACCTCCGTAAAAGTATTAATTTGTGCTGCCGCCAAAGCCTCCTGTATTTCTACATTTAGTCCCTGGACAAACCTCCTTATTCTCCTTTGCTCCGTAGATATCAATTTGGGAGCAAACTTAGATAGTTTCGTGAACTGAGTCTCACACTCAGATACACTCAGAGTTCCTTGACGAAACTTAATAAAATCGTCCTCCCTCTTCTCCTGAACTATCGGCGGCAGATATTTCTCGTTAAACTCCCGTACGAAATTTAACCAGGTCCAGGCAGTTCCCTCTCTTCCCCATTTAGCCTGAATCACGTTCCACCAGGCCCTAGCTGGTCCTTCAAACTGAAATACAGCGAAATGCACCTGCCTATCCTCCGTATAGTTTAAGACAGCAAAGATATTGATCATGGTCTCTAACCACCTCTCGCTCCCTCAGGGTCCGGTCCTCCAGGAACTTAGGAGGAGAGAACTTTTGAAATCTCTCTAGAGCTGAATCTTGTCCTATTTCAGGATCCCTGGGTTGATTAACAGGGGCTTGACCCTGCTGCTCTACCAGTCGAGCAAGTATATTGGTCATTTGCTGAATTGCCGTTGCTACCTGGTCCCCCCTTCCGCTCGGGGTCCAGGTTACGGTTCAACTGTTTTACCTCTTTCTTCTCTCGGTTCTCGTACAGGTTCTTGTGCCTGTCTAGCCCCACGGCCACGGCTAGAACCACATCCTCGGGTAGTTCCACGTCCTTCACTCCGTCTACCCTCCATACCTCTTTTCCTATATAAGTATAAGCAAAATAAAATAACTCTAAAGGCCGATAAAAGCATTTTCAAATCATAAAATGAAAAATAATAAAACACATTAAAAATAACATACTTTATATACATGTCAGAGCAAGTCACATATCCTATGGGACATTAACCCTAGGTATTGCTCAAAACTACGCGTGAATAGTAAGCGTCCCCAATCTCACTAATATCTTCAATATATCCCAAACCCAGACTATTCGCATTCCCCTTGCCTTGGTTTTCATCATCCAAACTTATCCTCATATTACTCGGAATACCAACTTATCATGAAGGTATCACTCTTTGGTACTCGGGGACAGGAATTCGAAAATATGATCATTCCCCACTCGAGTTAGCTAGGCTCAAGAGGAAATCAACCACTTTTGAGATTCCTACCCAACATACATATCTAAAGTCCCCAAAATAGACATTTATTTCACACTTAACAAGCCAATCCCCACAGTCCGAGAACCCTTTCCCGGCACGAGCTCGATAGGAGCTCTGATACCATCTGTGACGGCCCCACCTCCCCCTAGGGCGTACCCAGGGTTTAACGAGTCGCCTGCCCAACTCTCGCTACGACTCACTCACTCATAGCTCCAGCAAATAACGTACATCCATAGAAAATAAATAACACATCCACTTCAACTTAATATATACATTGATGCTCAAATCCAGATACAAAGCTTCTACATATCAAAATACTTCAAAGTGTTTACAATTCGAGTACAATCAACCCTAGTCGGGTATTAGCGTGAGTACAAATTCAAAATTCAAAACAACTAGACTACGCTAGTCTGTACACGTCTCAGGCCTCGCTCATACCCCCTGTAAGGAAAATAAATGACATGGAATGAGCTAAAAGCCCAGTGAGGTTCCAAATAAAAGTTGACCATTATTTAAACGTGCCAGTATCACATAGCAAAGTAATGAGCATGAAAAGTTCATAAAAGTGAGCAATAACACTTCAAGTACAAATCTCAAAACGAACGAGTGTAAAGTTTTCTTTTAAAACGAAACAATAACACGATAAGTACTAATCATTCCAAAGTATAAGAATACGGATGGCTCTCAGGAGCCACTTCCTATTGTATCACTAGAGCTTGATCAAGTAATAGTTGACACTCCGTCAACTTTCAAGTAAGTAACCAATCCAGTAGAGCACCACTTGAACTACTCTCCGTCCACCATTCAAACCCTCCACTGGGCCCAAAATCCTCAATAAACACTAGTGGTAATACTCGAGTATACCGATTAGTCGAGGAGATATCACTCCACTCGACAAGACAAAAGACCCAGGGTTCGTTATCCAATCGACCAAGCCCTTGCCGGCTCGACTCGAGTAACTCGCCACAGGGTTTCTGGAATTCCAGGAAGTGCGCACCATATACACATATATATCAAATCCATTGCAACAATAAACAAGTATATCCCATTATAGGCAAGTGCGATAAAGTACACTCTTGCCCGATCAAACCAATGACATATCATTAAATCACATTGGTCAAGTATTGCAAACAAGTGTCCAGTTCAATCAGGTATTTGAAAGCACTCACCAAAGGTCTAGTGCCTCTCAAAAGTCACGTTCAGGTCCAACTCCTTGGTTGGAGTCCAAATCTGCGATAAAATATCATTTGTGAATGTAAAATTCTCTAGAGTTCGAAACATAGGAGTTTCGCTTCAAGAAAATCAAGTAAATGCCATTCGCTTAAAGTAGTATTCACGATACTTATCAAATTCTGAAAAATTCATGCTCGCTCTTAACCCTTTGAAACTTTGAAACAATTACACTTGAAATACCATTTGAGTCGAAGAAATGGAGAAAACGTATTTCTATGAGTCATAAATTTCATTTTCCCAAGGGTACAAGGTCGGCCAAATTCTAACTTATATATCTCGATAAAAGAAGACGCAAATATCCTAGATGATTTAAGTGGTATTCGCTCTCAAGCCTTACTCGTGTCACAAGTATATCGACCTAGCCCTCGAGCGTAAATTTGGGCAGCACGCCCTTTGTATTTACCTATTTTCTAGCCATTTATGGCTCATCCATTTCCTCAATCAGTCCCAAAGTCACACACAAAATAATCTCAGTTCAATAGCCGTTCAATAGGCTCAATGATGTATGTACGAGTCAAAGCCCACGCAATGACTTACATGTTTCGAGTCCCATTGGCCCAGTCACGCATGCATGGGCCAAGCTATTCAAAGAATCATTCCAAGTTCCGGTTAGAGTTGTGCAAGACCAACATGGAGTTCACAAAGATATTGAGGGCTTGGAGAGAGACAATCGAGCCATTTACACCATGATCCAAGCCCACGAAGAGTCAAGCGGGCCACCAAGAGAATAAGGCCTTAGGCCCCATCAATTAGTTAGCAATTAGTTAATGATTAAGTAAGAGCATGGGCCGGCCCATCTTGTTCCAAGAGCAAGGGCCGACTTTTTCCTTTACCTAGCCCCTTTAGGGTTTTAGTCACTTTAGCCTATAAATAGGCTTGCTTTGTAAGGTTTAAGGGAGACGTTTTATCAATAAAGTTTTGCATATTTTCGATTCTTCTTGAGAGAGAGATTCGACCCCTTTACTTGCTTTGGCAAGGGTTTTGAGCAGTCTTGCGTCCTGTCCTAGATTGTTCTACCGACCTATTCCCCTGGAGTATTCACCTTCATCGGAGTGTCGTCTACCGTCTTGAATCAAATCGTGTCGTCCGTTTGGTTCTAGACCCGCAATTCCAAGCGTTGGACATCCTCGCTAGATCCTTGGGCAAACGTGCTACGTGTCTCGAAACGTGTTGATCGAGGAACGTATCACTCAAAGTCATACAAGTACAAAATCAAGCTAGGAACATGTGCAGAAATGAAGTTTGAGTCAAGAAACAAAAGACAGATTTGACGTTGTTTTGCGTAACGGACAACAACCGAGGCTATGCTTATCGGATTGGGATGCAATTTATACTGTTTTGAAACTAAGTTAAAGGGCTACAACTTTGATGAAGACCACTCAGTCTAGTTCGTAGTGTAGCTAGGTCAAAATTTCAATGTACAAAACCAGAATCTCACAAACAGGTTAGCTAACCGCACTATGGTTAAACGACAATAACTCAGGCTACCGAAGTCCGATTGAGGCGTTTTTAGGGGCGTTGGAAAGCTAAGACATAGCACTACAACTTCTATGTTTTGGCCAAATGCTAAGTCAGTACTCATCAGGGTGAACAGACGCGGTCAGATTGGTGAAATGTCAAAACTGTCCCTAACGTGCTACCTATGGCAGCCAGGGGTATTTTTGTCTTTTCATATGTTACAATGCTCGGATTGAGCTGAAATTTTACAGGAAGCTATAAAACATAATTCTCTACAACTTTCATGTTTTATGCTAAGCCTAATTCGGCCTCCATCCTAGTCAGTCAGAACAGGGAAGGTGTGACGGCCCCACCTTACCCTAAGGCAAACCAAAGGGTTCGGCGGACCGCCTGCCCAGCTCTCACTGGGACTCAGTCATTCACCTCAAGGAATTGAAGATAAAATTTATAAAACAAGTGAATACCGATCCCAAACTGAAAACATAAACTTATATACATTCCTATCTCCAAAGGAATTACAAAATTCAAATATACAAAGGTTCCCAATTCTTCATACATCCAACCCTTGCCAAGTGCTAGGGCGAGAACCAGTACAAAAGAATCTAAAGAACTAGACTAAGCTAGTCTATACAGAGCTCTCGTCCTTGCTCGCATCCCCTGTTAAGGAAAACAAAACTAACGAAATGAGCTAAAAGCTCAGTGAGGTTCCAAACACATAAACAAACAATGAGTTCAATACATTAACCATAGATAGCAAGTAATTCAAGAAACATAACAATATAAAGCAATAATAACATTCATTAAAAGGATACATGCTCACATGGAGCTAGTCATTCATTCATTCATTCTCCTTTCATTTCCTTATTCCTCCAATCGCTCGAAAAATATATTTTGATAAGTAAAACCCTTCATTTACATTGACATTCGTTCATTCATTTCATTTCACCCTCTCCTGGACGTTGGCCAGGCTCTACCAGACTACAAGGTAATACTCGAGTATACCAAACGTTCACCCAAGGTCACTAAATCGCCCGACCGAGTCCGCTTCTGGCTCGAGTCGATCAGTAACGAAGGGCAGGGCCCAGTTCAGCCAAGAGGCTTACATTCATGCACAAGTAACGTTTCAATCATTGAATCATTGAAAATTTCACATTCATTTAGGTCGAGTGCGATAAAGTACACACTCACCTAGAAAACTCGTTTTGGCAATCATTAAGAGCACTTAACACATTATCAACAATTACAACAAGCCATGAAGTCAAGGAAAGTATAACAAACAAGGAACACTCACCTATTTATGCAAAATAATGTCCAAAGTATCCTTTCGGATAACACCCTTAATCACCAAGGAACCCTAATATAATCAAAAGAACACATTATAAAGATTTAAATGATTCAAGGAAAATTCGAATACGTACTAGTACAAAGTATAAATATGGTTTTGGTAGTGAAAAGAGTACATTTAAACCAAAGGACATAAGTAAAATATTTGTAAAACTTATGCTCACTCGTAAAACTTTAAAATCTCCATTTGAGTCGGAGTGACAAAG